GAGCTAGGCACCGTTGAAGGCACTGGGAATACAGCACTGAACAAGACAAAGTCCCTGAGCTCACTGAGTTTAAATCTATAGTCTTTAAAACTCTTTATTGACACCAGGGCTCCCCTTCCTCTGAAATACCACAGATTTTGTCCTTGTGGTCACATCATCACCAACACATTCACCCAGGCTAGAAATATGAAACTCATCTCTGACTTGTCACTCTCAATCTACATTCAGTCACTGTGCTTACTAAGTCCTGATTTTTTACATCCTAAGAATTCCACATGGCCAGTCTGTTCTCCCTATCTTGACTCAACACTCTAGCTTAGGACTCTCATAGTGGGTCAGTTGGACTGATACAATCACCTCTAACTGGTTGCTCTGCCTCTGGTCTTGCCTCCCTCAAAACTGTCTTCCATTAGATCACTCATGATTTATTTAAAACAAAAATCTAATCAGGTCCAGTCTCTGCTCATAACTCTTCAAAAGCCCAAGCTGCTTGATATAGCACACAAAGCCCTCTATTATCCATCTGTGCCTTACATCTCTTGCCTCATTGGTTTGCGTAGTTTCTATCTCATGTTTTGCCCGGGTTATCTCTGTGTGTGTGTGTGTGTGTGTGGACTCTAAGATCTCAACTTAGAGTTCTTTCATGGCTGGTTTGTACATCTTCATAGTCTCCATACCTAGCACAGCACCTGGCATATAGTAGTCCCTTAGTAAATTTTTATGTGAACTGGGTTTCTGCTATTGTTTTGCATTTATATGTATCTTTTATCTTAAGCTCTCATGTGCCTGTGTCTTGCTTCTTCAACCTTATGGTGCATTTCTTCGGGTAGTCATTAGGACTATTTACAAATGTTCCAGTTCTCTTCCTCTTTCTAGGAACATTGTCGAATTTTATTTCCCATCCCCTTAAAGTTAGGGATAACCATGTGATTTTTCTGGCCAATGAAATATGAACAGAAATAGCAGCACCACTTCCTAGAGAGAGCATTTAATTGCCCAGTACAACATACTGCCACCATTGCCTCCCCTTCCCGCAGGGGAAACGCAAGAGGAAATAGAACCTTCATCAGCCTGGGTCCTTGAGTGACAAAGACAAGCAGAGCCTCCTGATGACCTGTGCTTGAAGTGTAGCATAAGCAAGAAACAAGTATTACCAGTCCACCGACATGTGGGGATTTACTGTGGTCACATAACTGTGTCTATCTGATCTCTCCGTTCCCTGAGGGCAGGAACTATACCACTCATCTTTGTGTCTCCATAGTGCCATATTCAAAGCAGACTAGAATATAAATATTGCATTTAAATTTTGATTTCTGATTTTTCCTAATTCATAATGTCCAATTTCAAATATTCTTCTCTTATCCATTTCTGTCTCATTACTAAAGCACAATTTCTGCTCCATTTTAGCACAATTATGGTTTATAAAATATAAAAATTAAAATTTCTAACCAGCTCATAATCCAGTATTGATCACTCATGTAACATTTTGTAGAGAATGAAATGTTTGCCCTCTGAGGACTGAAGAAATCCTACAGCTCAGCTGTAGCAGTGCCCCTCGGGGAAGGAGAGAAGGGAGGCTCCGAGCACACGCATGCAGCTCTGAGCAGCAAAGCCAGGGGGCTGTAATAATCAGCTTACTAGGGACAGGAGTGTTGCTGCACAGGTCTCTCTGTATCCTCTGCCTCAGCAGATGGCATGACGACATGGCAATAAACGTAATGAAAATTTCCCTCCATTTGCCCTTATATGCCTTAAAAAACCCGTCACTTCTGAGCATATAATTCTGTGAGGAAAAAAATCCTCTTTCTATGATCCTTATTAAATTCTACTGTTAAACAATGAACTATTCAAAAAGAAAAGGGTTCCAACACAGAGCCTCTTCCTGGAAGAAATGCCTAACATTTACTTATTCTCTCTGTAATCCTTACAGTAACTTGGAAGGCATATTTTTTTCTTCCTGATGTAAATGAATTATACATCACTCCAGTCTTATTTCATGCACATTGGCACAGAGCTAGCTACTATATGCACTAGTTCATAGAGTTAAACACAAAAAACTCACAGCCTTCTTCTATTTTCTTCCCCCTATTAACAGCTCTAACACAACGCCTGTTACCTCCTCCAGCAGCCACATTTCCAAGCACACCCTTTCATAGGAAAAGGTCCAGCTAGTCATAGCCCATCTGTTTAATATCCTGGAAGTTAAAATTAAGCATGTAGGCACTGTTTCTATGATTATGTGTTTCCTAAAGTCAATTACAAATTTTCAGCTAGAGTTATCAAAACTGAATTTTAACTTGAAGTTTTCATTTTTATAAATGTCAATTGTTTTAGTTTGGAGGAAATATGTCTACATTTACTATTAATACAACGTAATTTCCTAAAGATACTTTCTGAAAGGCAACCAAATCCTCAAGTTAAAAATCAGCTTATAGAATTTTTAAATAATGTTTAACAAAATCAATCTAAAGAAAGAATCCAACTTTTTTTCAACCTAAACAAAGTGTTTAGGAACCATGGGAAATATTTCTCTAGTGTAAAAATGCATAAAACAAATATAGGTGCTCACGTCTCTGCTATGAATGGAATAAGATCTCCTGCCCCATACTGCTCATAACTACGCCCAACAGTAGAAGTCCTTCATTTTCTTATGATGGGTCACTGGGTGGGTTGCTGCTTTGCATGTTTTAAAATCTATCAACATAATACCAAGAAAAAAACCACAAAGGAAACATTGATCCAAATACACAAATATTTAAAACTCAATACTAAATTAAATAGTAAATTAAAAGATACATAAAAATAAGAATATTTGCAAGATAATATCTTAACATAGAGAGATCTTTTACAAATCAACTATACACACACACACACACACACACACACACACGATAATAAAGAATAACCAGTAAAGCTATGGAAAAAAGAAGGGCTAGGCTCTCCAAATGATATTTTTCACTCAGCACATAAGCAAAGATTTAAAAACCGCTAATAGTATTAGGGAGGGTACAGGTCATACTTCAAGTGGTAATAAATATTTGTGCCACCTTTTGGGAAAGTAATTTGACTACCTATATGAAAGCCCTCTAAACATGGATTCCCTGAAACCACCAGTTCTAATTCAAGGTGTTTGTCCTCATCCAATCACTAGACAAGTGTCCATAAGGATTTTTACTCCAGGGATTTTGATACACATACAGATAGAAAAGTATCTGGAAGGATGCATGCCAAAATATTAACTGTGATTATCTACAAATAAAACCTGAAAAATCACTAGTTTTTCCTTTTTATTACTCATCTATATGTCTCAAGTTCCTATAACAAATACCTATTACTTTTGTAACAATCTGTCTCATTTTTATTCTTTTTCAGAAAAAGAAAGCACTTTAAAAGCATAGAAATGGTGCTTGGAACCTTGGGATTCCTATCCAGAGTTACTCACAAGTCAAATTTTATTCCAATTGATTCAACAGGGCAGATTAAATGTGAAAAGCAAAATGGTAGGCTCCCTTACACAGCAACTCGCGCTTCTTTTCTAGTTACTTCCACCTACGTAGAGAATTGTTCAAGGAAGATGTTTACAACTCCATACATATTCTAGATGGTTTTGGCCATGAAGTCACAATTCTATATCTGCACAATGTTTTTTGTTTGTTTCTTTTTTTTCATGAGACCAGATACCTGAACATAATCTTTGTTTGGGAATGCAGGATACAGTAGGCAGTGGAAGAGAAATGGAAGCCAACTTTCCTGAGAGCCCCCAACGTAAGAAAGCATCCCTCTCCCCTACATCGACTCCTGGTTACACACCGGAAAATAGCAGCAAGCGAGGAATGACAAGCCTAGACACAAAAACTGGAACACAAATGGGGACTGTGAGGTAGGCAGGCTGGCAGGTGTAGGGCTGAACTGGCTGCATACCACAGCAGCAAAATGCCTGTGACATTCACGCATTTACAATCAGTTTGGCGGTGTTTCCAAGCCAGGCTGAGGGATTTAGTTTTCCCCCTATTAGGCAATGACAAAGATTTCAAATGGACCAAACATTTTATATTAGTGTCAACAGCACTAACGCAGCTTCAGCTGGCAGGAGAGAGAAAAACCAAAAGTATCTGCATTATTTACTCCAGAGAAACTAGCTGAGCACCATCTGTTCTCAGCCACCACCATTCCCCACCCAATGCAGCCTCTTCTATACTACACCCTTGCCACCCTATTGTGAGCCCCTCGGTCTTGGCCCAAGAACCTGAAGTCCTAATGTTTCCCCGAATACACATTTGGAAAGTTAATTTCGACAGAGTGACTGGTAACACAGGAGATCTCTTAACGCTGCAAAGTGTTATTAGTTGTCCAGTTGCAAAAAATATTTGCTCTTCCAAACTTCATTCTAAGTCTAAATGCAGTGCTTCTCCTATATAACATTATAACATGGCGGTGGCGGGGGGGGGGGCGGGGGCGCCGAGCCTGCCCTTGGATGCCCCGGGGAAGGGCGCCCGCCGGGGGATGGGCTGCCCCTGGCCAGGTCTGAGGGGGGCGGCGCAGGCTGGAGCGTACAGCATGGAAAACCAATATTCTTGCTCTCTAGGGTCTATAAACTGGTAAAGGTCATAAAACTAGAATAGGAAAGCCTACTGAATTAACAATAGGAAATAGGTTGCATAGAGCTAAGTTTCTAAAACACCTAAAAAAACCACATGTGGAGTGTACATTTGTGTCTAGTTGATTTTTACAGAAACAATGGCCTTTCAGGAAATTAAGTGTGCCACTCTGAAAAACCAGAGGAACAGTATTAGTAAGCAAATCAAGACCAAAGTCAGACCCAGTAGTGATTATAGCACTACATTTGATCTATATGGACTGTAAAGGAAAATAGAAAAATGAGACCCCTTAAGAGAAAAAAAACTCAAGAGCTTTTCATTAAGAATAAAAACAAACCATTTATACAGAAATAGATCAAATTTATTTATAAATTTGTTTAAAAGAGTATAAAAGATTTATTCTTTTCTTTTGCTGGCATTCGTACCTTGGATTAAGAAAATAGGGATTAAAATCTAAAGATGCCAAAGCTTCCCCAAACCTGATCTGAGAATTAGATAAGAATTAGCTGCTTACAGAGACAAGCATGCCACACCCATAGCTCTTGTTAACCTGAAATCATCAAATGAGTCCCTCCTTTTCTATCTTACTAACATTGCTGTAATTATACTTCCAATAAGAGGCAAAACCAATTAGAAAAATAAGGTAACATTTCACTGGCAGTAGAGATTAAATGTGAGTTCAGAATCAGCTCCTGCAAACACATACAAATAATGACAGAGAGAAACCAGTCACTCCTGGCTGCTCAGCTGCATGGATGGGCAGTTGAAGTCCAGGTAAAAACAGTGAGGATGAACAAAATGGCATTAAAGAAAAGCATCTCATGAGGCTTTTCAAGGTCAGTTGACGAAGGTCAGATGTAAGTAAATATTTCTCACATGTCCTGGAAGAAAAAGAAAACAAGAATTACTACAAGCAGCAAAACAAAATTCAAAGCCTTTATTGTCCAAAATGAAGTCCCTTCAAAGAACACTCTTATCTACGTCGGACTTAAGTGACTATTTTTTAACAGTTTAAAGACCCAGTGAAATGATTTAATTTTCAAGTCCCATTGCATTTGATTCGCAAAATAGTCTCTGTCGACACTGTAACGGCTTGTTGAATGATGGCTCCTCAGCTGTGTTCTTAGAGATAGGCTAACATGGGTCACAAATAACAGTGTTCACAAATATTGTCCCCCATCTCCATCATTACAGCAAGGACGGGACGAACACAGCGTGGAACAGAGCAATTTAAATGGAAATGTATGGAGTAGAGTTGCACTGTATTCTGCAGCAGGAAGGTGACTTCTAAAGGGACCTAGAGGAAGGGAGATAGACTAAATGAGTCCCCTCCCCCTAACCATGTGCAAAGGGTCAAGAAATCTCCATCAAGCCTCCCACAATGCAATGCTGGGCCAATCTACATTTGGGATTCAAACTATTGCTGTTCTAACACTGGGGGAAACTAAAATCTCAGGTCGCCTCATAGGTCACAGCAGATGTTTTACTGCCCTTGAGGACACCAGATTTAGAGTTTCCACAGGATCCCAAAGGGTCTCACCTACTGGTATCAGAGAAAAGATCATTTGGAGTGGTTCTTTAAACATCACACCCTAGGTGCATCATGAAAACTAATGGAGGACTCTAGAAAACCAAAATGCATTTTTAAAATATAAAATCAATGTTAAATTATCAAATAAAAATATATTAAGCAATACGAGAAGAATGTGATTTAAATTAAAAAAAGGTTTAAAACTAAAGATCAGTCTAATTTGTCTACCCAACATAAACACTTATCAGAGGCCTACCGCTTATGTGTCTGTATGACATTTCAAGAAACAACTTTTTCTTTCCTTAGCTTTATTCATAGTTTTATCATATTTTCTGCCTCCCACCTTTCCTTCTCTGTCTTTAGCTTTACACTGGTTCCAATATTTCCTCCAAGCCCACTCTGTGAGTTGGGGCATAGCTCTCCTCTCTCATTCCTTGGGGAGCTCAATCATCATCTATCAACTTCTGAATAAATGACACATTCTTAACATATTCTGTATACTGACATTTTGTCCACTTGTTATTTACAAAACATGTCCAGGATAAAAGTTTAGTTTATGGCTTCTTTCTTACTTTTGTATGGTGTCCTTTGATGAACAGCTATTTTATTTTAATGCATATGTATCATTTCTCTTTGGTTTATACTTTGGGTCTTCTGAAATCCTCCCTAGTTCAATTTTATAAATAGTCTATTTTCTTCTAAAATTTAAAAATTCTTTCTATTTATAAGTTTTAATCCACCTGGAACTGATATTTTAAGAATGGTGTTAGGAAGGGACCTAATTTCACGTGGGTACTCAACTGACCCAACAGCGTTTGTTGAAGAGTCCATCTCCCCCCAGTGATGTGCTCTGCCCTCTGCCATACATCAAAATTCCAGAAGTGGTTGGGTCTGCCTGCGCCAATTCCATATCATATTAAATATTTAATTAAGTCTCCATATATACTTCTTTATCTTTAGGAGTGAACTGGCTATTCTTGCTTCTTTGCTTTGATTAGAACTTAATTAAATCTATAGATTATTGGAGAGCTCATTCCTATCCATTAACAAGGTATAATTTTCCATTTATTTATTCGTTAATGTTTTTCTATAAAATGCTATATAGTTTTAAAAGGTTATGTACATCTTTGATTGGAACTTATTAGATTTTTTTGTTTATTCTCAATGTGCAGAAACAAAGGTAGTTTTTATATACTGATATATCTACCAACATTGCTGGGCCCTTATTTATTCCAATAATTTGAATATAAATTCTTTTGTATTTTCCAGGTAGATAACTGTATCTGTGATTTACAAACTTTTTTATCCTTCTCAATCCTTAAAGGAAATGCTGATTTAAAGGAAATGCTTTTAATATATTTTTATTACAAATTTTTGATCCCTTTATTAGCTAAAGAAATTTCCTTGTTATTCCTAGTTTGCTAGAAGTTTTTACAACAAATGAGTATTGAAATTGATCAAACGCTTTCCCTGTATCTATTGAGATGATCATATAGTGTTTTTCCTATAATTTATGAGGTGAATTATCTCAGTAGTTTTTTTGTTTTGTTTGTTCATTTGTGATAAGCAAAGCTTGCATTCTGGGATAAATTAAATTTGATAAGGATATACTATGCTTTTCAAAAATTCATTATTGAATCTGTCAAAATTTTGTGATTTTTTTGAAGCTACGTTTATGAGTGAGACTGGTGTATCATTTTTTTTTCCTGTATAATCTTTGTCTGATTTTGATTCCAAGTTACATTCACCAGCTTAATCTTTTTAGGGAATACTTCCTCCTTTCCATTTATCTGAAAAACTTGCTAGACATTTAGAATAATCTGTTCCTTGAAGATTTAGTAGAACTTTCTTGTAACATTTCTAGGCCTGGTTTTTATTTTGTGGGAAGACAGTAACAAATTAACATAGACAGTGTTTGTATCATTTTGAATTCCCACCAAAAATGTGTGAAAGAACCTGTTTAACCACAGCCTTGCCAATAGAGAATTTGTCAATCTTTTGCTTTTTCGCCAAGTAATAGATGAAAAATGGTATTTTGGTTTGGTTCTTAATTTGTATTCCTTTTATTATGAGGAATTCATTGAGTGCTTTAATTTCAAAGATTATGTTTTTTATTCCTAGAAGTTCTGTTTTGTTCTTTTTTCAAGTCCTCTTGGTTGTCTTTGTCTCATTTTTGCTCATTGTTTCAAATCCAATGTTATTCCATCAAATGTTTTATACACAGCTATTTTAAATTCAGTATCTAATCACTTTAGTATATCAAATCATTTGGTTCTAAATCCCTTGGTTGTTTTTGTGACCCTCAATCACAGCCACCTGTTTCCCGCGCGTGCAGTAAGTTCCAGTCACTATTTTATGCTTGGGATATATCAGTGAACAAAACAACCAAAGGGCCCTGTTCTGATGGAATGTGGAACATGCATTGCCGCAGGGAGAGACTAAGAGGAAACAGTCAACAAAACATATAAGTAAACCATGTTAGAAAATTATGTTAGAAGTTGCAGAGTGCTATGGCAAAAAAAGTGGAGCTGGAAAGGGATGGCAAGAGCCAGGGGTAAGGACACAGATCACAGCATTAAATAGATGGCCAAGGAAACCCCATTGAAGTAGAATTCAAGAAAATATTTGAAGGAGAACAAATCATACGGATATTTCGAAGAAAAGTGTAGAGGAAGCAGCCAGGACAAAGACTGTTAGGTAAGACCAGCCAGTTCCTCAAGTTTTCAAAGAACAGCAAGAAAGCTAGTGTGGCTAGGAGGAATGAGGACGAAGTGCAGTAGTAGGAGAGCTCCAGAGGGGTACAGCGGGGTCTAGACCATGTAGCTCCCTCGTAGGCTACTGTAAGGACTTGGGCTTTTACTCCGAGTGATTTGGAGAGTTATGGTAGCCATTGGAGGGTTTTGAGCAGAGGAGTGACAGAATCTGACCTCTGTTTCAAAGGGATCACTCTCATATTGAGAATACACTCCAGGTGGGTAAGTGTGGAAGCAAGGAAACCATCTAGCAGACTACTTCAAGAATCTAGATGAACACTGACAGAGGTTGGAAGCAGGGTAATAGTGGTGAAGGCAGTGAGAAACTGTTGGATTGGATGTATTTTGAAGGAAGAGTCAAGATTTGATGATGAATCAGCTGGGATGTGAAAGATGAGTTGTACCATATGTAAACAGGAAAAAGTACAGATAGAGCATTGGGGTGAAGGGGATCAAAGGTTGTTAAGGCTGAAATGTCTATTAGACATGCAAGTAGAGACGTTGGGTAGATAAATGGATATGCAAGACTGAAGGAAGAGGTCTAGGCTGGAAATAGAAATTTGAGAGTAATAAGCATATAAACGGTATTTAATTTCGTGAGAACAAATGAGGCCATGAAGGTATTAAGTGGACATAAAGTTAAGAAGGTGGTCCAAGGTGCATCCCCCTGAGGCACTCCAAAGTTGAGAGGAGAGGAAGATGCAGGAGATTCAAAGGAGAACGAAAAGAAGTGACCACTGAGATAGGTGAACACCCAAGAGAGTATAGTGTTCCAGAAGCCAAGTAAACAGTTTCAAAGAGGAGGGAGTGAGTCACAATGAGAAATGATGCTGACAGGTCAAAGGATGAAGACTGAGAAATAACACTGGATTCTACAATGTGGACATTGTTAGTGACCATGACAACAGCATTATAGTTGAACTGATAAAGTCTAAATTCTGATTAGAGCAGGTTTAAGAGGAATGAAAAGAAAGAAATTAGAGACAGCTAGGATAGACACCTCTTGAAGTTTTGCTCCAAAGGGGGAAAAAAGAAACAGGACAGTAGCAAGAGGGAAAGAGGTATCACTATAATTTACATTTATTTATATTTTATGCTGATGGGAATTTTATAGTTGAGATGGAACATCTGACAATTCAGGAGAGAGCGAGGAGTACTGTTAGAACAAAGTCCCCCAGATGGTGGAGGAGATAGAATCTGATCCAGGAGAAAAAGCAGGCATAGAGGGATGTTTGTAGGTAAGCAGAAGGGGACGTGGAGCCTGAGGAAGTTCTCACCTTTCTATCACTGCTTCTCTCAAGCACAGGAAAAGCCAATAACCACAATGGACTTGGATATGCCTGTCTAACTCAGGAAACTTCAATCATCCTCACTCACATCACATCATGCGAAAAAGATGGTCCTCTCTCTTTACTGTGAGGAATCTAAGCAGAGATTTATAGCTCCCTTACATAAGGCCACCGATAGTCAATGGTGAGCCAGATTCTCCAATCCTCATTCCCTTAGCAGCAGCCCACACAGTATTCAGTTACTCTCTCCCATCATCTCTCCCACGTATTTTTCTAGGTAGTCTCTAAACTGGGGGAGTTGTTAAGTAGAGGAGAAAATGTGCAGCAAGATTCCAAGTCCTGTCCAAAATCTGAGTTTCAATCACACTTCACTAGTTATAAATTGTGTGAACTTGGATAATGTCTTAAACTCACAATGTCCCATTTTCCACATGACGCCTACTCACATATTCTTGTGAATAAGGCAGTAATTTGTCAATTGTAACACAAGATGCAAAGATACTGTGCTTTGATTCTTTTCTCTTCCACGTTGTCCCTATTCTGAATGCCACAGCAATACACATGAGCATACATTATGGACAGACACGTCCAGTATGCATTCTCTGAAGTTTGCCTACACTCAATTATCTTCCATATATTCACATTTGTGAAATCTATCCATCAATTTTAACTACTACATGCCTTTTTTTTTTTTTTGTGAGGAAGATCAGCTCTGAGCTAACATCCATGCTAATCCTCCTCTTTTTGCTGAGGAAGATCAGCTCTGAGCTAACATCTATTGCCAATCCTTTTTTTTTTTTTTTCCCCTCAAAGCCCCAGTAGATAGTTGTATGTCATAGTTGCACACTCTTCTAGTTGCTGTATGTGGGACGCGGCCTCAGCATGGCCGGAGAAGCAGTGCGTCGGTGCGCGCCCAGGATCCAAACCCAGGCCACCAGTAGTGGAGCGCGCGCACTTAACCGCTAAGCCACGGGGCCGGCCCTACATGCCTTTCAAGGAAACATGCATACAAGATTTCTAACAGACTGTCTTCTCAAAAATGATCTTTTGTCCATCAAGTATTTATTGAAGGGTGATCTTCTCTAGGGTTTTCAGGTCAGCAAGCACTCGATTATTTTGTTGTATTTTACCAGTTTAAACATTGCTATCCACTCCATTTTTTTTTAATATGTATAAATGCACTTGGGCTTCAATTAAATTGCAAAATCTGCTGTAGCTAGCTTTGATTCTTTACACATTGCAAACCCCACAATCATATACATTCCAAAGCTTTGTTGCTGATTCAATAATATATTGTGCACACAAAACACCTTACACACATATTACAACACAGTTGCAAGGCTTTCTTCACAGAAACCTGTAAGGACATTTCACTTCCAAAAAGTACCTTCTGCTGTAGGGTTTTTGTTAAAAATCATTTTTCCATGAAAAATTAAATAGTGGTTTCTTTGATGTTCTAGTTTCACTGAAAGAATATATTACTAGAGAATGTTTACTGTTTTTATAACCATATTTCACTTAAAATCTTCCTGAAAAAGAAATGTTCATTTGTTTTTGTTGTAGGTCTGGGCCAGGGTGATAAAAAGCATTACAGTCCAGGCAATCACACCGAGAACAAACGGCATGTGTCATTTTTTACTGTGATTGGCCGGAGCTGAAATCAAGACTTTCTTCCTCTCTCAGAAGCTACTGTGGAATTTACAGTAATCACCCTGGTTGACTGCCCATCACACAGCTGAACAGCACACCAAAAGAAATAACACCTAGGGAGAAGGCCACTACATATTTTTAAAATTCTCATTGTTTTTATTCTTCAACTTGGAAAGATTTTTTTTGAGAAAAGAAAAACTCACCCAGCTGTTACCACTATTCATATTCCAATAGCCTCCAAAGTGCTCGAGGCCACCTGGTTGACTTCTGGCTTGGAGTCGGTCCAGAAAAGCATTATTTACCCTTTAAAACAATGAAAAATGTGGGTAAGTGAAAAGCTTGCTGCAGAGCTGAGAGATTTTTGAGAACCGAATGTGCCATATGAACTGACTGTGGGGATTGCTTACCCCCTTCAGCTTAGAAGAAATCTACAGAAACTTCTTTTCACATTTACCATATGACATGCTGTTAACAGCCCTTTGCTGGAGCTGGTGCCAGTCGTGGCTCAGGTTGAAGGGGGCACAAGTTCTTAACTTCAGAGTTTCACTCACCCACCTTCTACCAGTTCTGTGAGAACCTTGGTCACCCAAGCAACTGTCACCTAATGGCCATGCCAGGCGTGAACCCCAGAGGCTGAGGAAAGATGGAAGCTTCAACAAGAACTAAAACATGAAGAGAAACCAAAAATAAGACAGATGTCTCTCCCATATACCCTGTACGCCGTTGCCAGTCTTGCTAACTAAAGTAAATCCCATAAGTGAAAAGCAGAAGGAAAATGGGAATAGAGTACGGGAAAAAGAGAAATATCAGAAGAGGGAAGCCCAAGCTTTCAAAAGAAGAAATGGGTACATCTTTCTCTGATGTTCAGTCATACTTGAAGCAATGAATTTCAGAAATTAAGTTTAACAATAGGAGGTAAAACTGTAAGGAAAGGTAAGAAAGTGATTCTCATAAGGGTCAGGATGGGGTAACCTGTAGGATGATGGTTATATTCTGTTTCTGGAGCTGGCTACCTGAGTGCTCACTTTATAATTAAGCATTCTTTTGTTGTTGTTGTTGTTTATTGTCATAACATTGGTTTATAACATTGTATAAATTTCAGGTGTACATCATTATACTTCTATTTCTGCATGGATTACATCATGTTCTCATGTTCACCACCCAAATACTAATTATAATCCATCACCACACACATGTGCCTATAATTAAGCATTCTAAATGTCTGTTTCATAAACTTTTCTGTGTGTCACACATTACAATTTTTAAATTAAAAAAAAATACATTAAAGGCAATACCATGCTCTGAGTTGCCCAGGTATGGCTGAGTAGAATCAGGGAGGTAGACGCTGGAGAAACAGCATTATAATAGGTACCCTATGATGTCAACAGATTACTGAGAAAGAGTGTCATTAAGACTATAAGCATCTCGGCAGAAACACAATGCCTGGCATTTAGCAGCCACTCAATACATGTTTGTGGAAGGAAGGGTAGGTGGGACCCAGCCACATTAGCCTCCTTTTCAGTCATGAAGATGAGCAGAATGTGCCCATGGCGGGTGGCTGTGAGCCAATGACATGGGAGATTTGAGAACTTGAAGGAAAAATGACTGCTAGGTAGCAAAGTCCAAGGCTGGGGTTGTTTGCCTGTCTGTGCTTGCTCAGTGCTAGCTAAAATGCCAACTGCATGTTGACCCAATTTGACCTCTGGCTTATTGGGTTGCTGTTCTCTCAACAACTGCAAGTCCGTCAGGCAGTGGTCACATCTCAGTTATCAGTTTTTTTCCTCTCACCATAAAATCTACCCAAGTGCCATATTCTGGGCATCCTGGTTCACTGCAGAGCTCCATGTTTAAGTCACCTTTTCTAGACCTCTCAGCTTGCAGATTGAACAGTATCTTACTGAGCTGGAGACTTGAATATTAAGGAAGAGAAAGCTGAATCTGATCCCCCTTAAACAACACAACCATGGTACTCTGGAATGCCCATGTGCCGGGGGCTGTTTTTTTCCAGTCTTTTTGTCAGTAACAAAGATGAGCTTTCCTTCAACATCTCCCATCCCACCCCACATCCAAACCGCAAGAAGTCTTGTTGGCTCTACCCACTAAACACATCCTGAATTCACCCATTTCTTTCAATGGCCACCATTCTAGTCCAAACCACTATCGTCTCTCATCCTGCTTCTGCTTTCACTTCTGCCCTCTCGAATCCGTTCTCCACACAACCACCTTACTAAATTATAAAAGGGGATCATGCCTTCCTTTTGCTTAAAACCCTCCCATGACTTCCCATCAGTCTTAGAATAAAATCACGGGCTTACAAAATCTTGTATTTTATGGCTCCTGCCTACCTTTCCTCCCTCATTTTGTACTATTCTCCTCCTCCCCATCTATAATCAATCATTTGGGACTCAAAAAGCCCAAGCTCACTCTCACTTCAGGACCTTTGCATTTGCTCTTATGCCTGATAATGTCCCTTGGATGTCTCATCCAAGAATATGTTTTAGCCCCTGATCTCTACGTGATTGGCTCCTGTTCTTTGATGTCACCTCTTCATTGAGGACCTATCGCTTCCAATCACTCCCTTAACATCACCTCGTGATGTGGTCCTAATAGTACGTATCATTGTCTGAAATAATTTTGCTGTTAAATTGTTGATTTCTATTTCTTTCCTCCAGACTGTAATTTCTGTGTGGTCAAGGACCTTCTCTTCCTTGTTTAGCCCTATCCTCAGTGCCTAGAACAAAGCCTCCATAGCGTGTACCCTGCTATCTAAAAGTTGAATGAATGAATTGTCCAGGTGCTTGGTGCCCACCTCTGCCTGCTTCTGAGACTGCAGCTGCATCGTGAAACCACAATGTGGTGAGTGTAGACAGCAAAACAGCTCACAGTCAGCTGCTCTCAGTTCACTCAACACTGCAAAGACTGATGGCTTGTCATGAACCCACGGGCTGATGCAATTCACTTTTGAGCATCAGTTACTAAAAGGACACAGCAGAGCGGTTGAGCTCTCCTTGATACTTGAGGATTGTTCTCAAGTGGCCAATGTCTGCTGCAATATGGGTCAACCAGAGATCATGAGCGGTAAAGAAATTGTTTTTCTCAATTCATATTATGAATTCAAACAGGAAAAACAAAAGTACCAGTTTATATTTTTGTTTACTAGTTTTAGAAAATACATACATTTTATTCGTGTCAAATTAGTGCTCTGCATTTTCTTCTAAGGATTAATTTGGATAAAAACTACTATTCAAAGATGGTTCAAGTTTCAATAAATCAATTCAGTTCATTCCAGTTTTCAGCTGGTGGCCCAGATCCTCTCAAGTCCTTGACTCCCATGACCCTCCTTGCTCTTTTTTATTTCTCTCTGGAGTGTCTAATTTTTTCTCTTACTCAAAAAGTTACGGTGGGTCAGGTGCAGGTGCACTCAAGCTCAATCATTATAGGGTTCATTGAAAAGCTTGTGAGGAATCTCACACATACTACACAGCTCATGTTCTTGGGCACAGCTATTTTTTTCATTAAGAGGCTACTGAATGAGTATTTTCACAATAACATGGCAAAGCTCACTGTAAACTCCAAAGAACAATACAAAACATAAGCTCTCTTCTAAAAGTGATTGAGAACAAAAAATATGTGTTTGAAGACTTGATCAGTTATTTCAATACTGATTACTGAATTTATTATCCAGAGAGATTTCTCTCTGGATTACATTTGAATCTACATTTAACTAGAATCAATAGAAAGAGAAAATAAAGTGTAGAAAATAGACAGCCCCACCAATATTTAGGTATTCAGCAGTATGCAAATAAACTTAAAGAATGAGGGTCAAGGTTCCTATAATAAAAAGGTAATCCTTTCCACCTCTAATCAAATAACTTGTGTTTTTATTGGGTGCCTGTTGAAGATTAATTTCTCAGCAATGGGGCCTATTAATGTGACATATCACGATCTTTAAAGTGCTTAAAGCCTTATGATACAATCCTCAGAAACCCAGAAAAATGACTGGCTACTACCAACAACCAGTGTTATATAAATACAATATCAGATTTTTTAACAGAAAGACTTTTAAGGAGAAAAACCAATAACAAAGGACTATTTATGGGCTACTTTATAAAAAATAGGTAGCAGTAACAGTCCCCTTTTACCAAACAAAATAGCCTAACCAGTGTATCAGAGGTTTGATGTTTCCTTATAATCAGAGAACAACACATAAATTCACACAACATTTTAAAACTATTTTGACTGGACTATGGAAGCAGCACAATCCAGTCAAAACAATGTGGGCATCCACCCACAGTTAGTGGTTCCAGCAGAATTGGGAACTTCCATTAATGCTTTTAAAAGTCTCATTTACACAATGAAACCACCATGATTTAAAAATACACGCCAGTGAGAATGGAGAGGTTAAACATATAAAAGAAGCCAGTCAGTTTCAAAAGAAGAATTTGCTCCTTTAAATCATGAAAGCCTTTACATTAAATTCTTCTCCTGAGACACTCAAGCACACTGCAGTAAACTCAGATAACCCAAATGCCCCTCGGGAAAATTCTAGCATAATAGTGACAAACAATATAGTGGTTATTAGCACTGTCCCAACATCAACATGATATTTTACTGAGTAGTCTTAACGTCTGAAATTAGGAATAAGAGAGTACATACACTATTAAAAATTACTTAATGACTCTATTTTAAGGTTTGTTTTTTTTTTCCCTAATGTGTTAGTCAATGTAACACAAGTTTAATAGTAGTTTGTGTCAGAGCTTTTGTATTCAACTATGGGTATCTCACCACCTATACTAGTTTGATTATTCTAAAGTAGGCTATAAATGGTAAATGATCATCTCAAAAGATTAAGATGCTTCGTCCCATGGGAGCCAAATTAAATATAACGTGAATAAACAGAGAGCTGGAGAGCATGCTTCAGTTTTCTGGCATAAATTTATGCCATCTATCCAGAAAAATTGGATACTGTGTGGGTGTAAATATGCATACATATATGCATACACACACAATATCCAATACGTAGCAGCTGGCATCCCTCACACACACACTACAACCCAATAATATAAAGATTGGAAAGTTAATATAGATTCCAAAACCATATTTACTATTGCTACAGTGTTTTCCTAAAACATTGTGAAAGCTTTATAAGTAATTGTTTTAACCAAGAATGCTTATTTTATTAGCCATTTATACCTCCTGTGTTCAGTCTGGGAGGTCTGGGTTCTTTCTTCTTCCTGTTGCTGTCGCTTAAATTCCAGTAATTCACTCTAGGAACAAAATATAGTTTTCAATAACATGGTTGTACAGAAGACACCTAAATCGATCACATATTTAACCTTAGCCAGCACAATATGTCATTTCTGAAACTTTTATTTAAGTACCATTTCCATGTGAAATTACTTTCTTATATAACTAGGTAGCAAAAATAATTGTGCCTTAGTCAAACAATAGGTCTGTGAGTGTAAAATTGGGAGATTAAAAAGCCAATGTGCATGGTGAAGATATTAGACCAGTAGGTACAACACACACCGAGGAAAACACAACGCGAGTCAAACTCACCTGTGTCTTAACAAAGAAAAACAAATCAAATTAGTTCCTCAAGGAATGTCACACAATAACATTTCTTGGTATTTCTCTAGCATTTCTTTCCCAATAAATTTGTAACAACTTAAAAATAAATATTGGACTCAATTCTGTAGTGCAATTCTGTTAGTACAACATCCTCCATCCTGGAGAATAATCACTCACCTATTATCATCTAGTTACTTCTAATACTAGCAAGACTTTGGACTCCCTGGAGGGGATACTTTGCTTCAAACAGATCATGTTCCTACAACTAAATCTCTAGCTTCTGACATTCTGATTACCATCTTGGAAGAGGCAACTCAGCTTCCACACTCAGTTACTCTGTTTACAGTATTAAACCAAAGAACTAGGTGCCAGGATTTCTCTAATACTCAACGGCCTACCTTCAGGCAGACTGAGTTTTAACCCCATTTCAAAGAGAGAAAAGCAGTGGGAAGAGAACTATCAGGCCCACAATAAGTTAGTGCCTGAGACAGAGACTTTTTGATAGAGAAAATACTGTCAAGTCTTGATAAACACATACCAACACGTGCATTTTTTTAACCCCAAGACTCCCTTGATGAAAAGTATTAAAAAATTCAAAGTTCAGATTGATATATATATATGTATATATATACACATATTTTTTTTAACTATCTAAGGCCTTCCAACATTCCATAGTCTCCAAAATAGGACTACTTTCTTATACTGTGATATTCCAAATACATTACTCATAAATCTCTAAAGTACATTATTTAATTCTAACTCCTATCTAACACCAACAAAAGAAAAATTAGAGTTTCCTAAATAATTGAATGATATCCATTCAACAAGCAGTTACTAAGCACCTAGACGCCAAGCCTTGTGCCAGAGACCCACTTTTCTACAATAGCATGAAGTCTTTTATTTCATTTTTTGTCACTATATGTACATAGTTTTCAAAGTCTACTAAATAACAGTACTACTTATTAGTACTACCAATAGAAGAAGCTCCAGTCCTCTCCCTTATCCCGCCAATAACTTTCAACTCCTATGTGTGGTTTCATCTGTTAATTATCTCCTTAACAGCATGCATAATCCATTTCTTCATTTTTTAAAAATCTGTATTATCTTTTGGCTTCCTACTACGGAAAAAGATTTATGCCTCTATTACTACCTCCATCCCAATCCCAACTCCCCTCTTTCCAGTACATCACCATCCTCATTCTTCATCCTTACAACTTTTTTTTACCTGTCAATGTGGTGGGAGACGGGCTCTAGGGTTCTTACACCTCGTCACTTAGGCTCCCAATTCATCCTCCTCTTCTCAACCCTAGCCTTTAGAGGTACCAGTGCCTCCAATTCCAGACTTGCATTGGGACTGCTTCAACTTGGCATCTTACTGCTTCTTGCAAGTGAGTTCTGGCTTTTCCCACGCTACTTTCCACTTTCCAAAATTTTGCTGATATCTTTTCTTTGCTGCAGTCTCCTGGCCTGTTCTTTTGTTCTTACTGGTTTATGCCTTTTTAAAAAAATTTTTTCCTTTATTGTCTTTTAGTGGGAGTTGAGGAAAGAGGGACTGAAGACAAACGAAATGTTTTGAAAATGCAATGTTTAACCAGAAGACCTCAACATTTTTAAACAAAAATTTTACCAGAATTCTGTTACTTGATCCTCATAACAATTTTCAAAGACAGACAGTTAAATAAAGTATTATTTGATGAATGAATGAGTGAATGAATGAGCATTATTGTGCTTGTTTTACAGATGAAGAAACAGAATCAGAGACTTAGTTTAAGTAACTTGTCAAGAGCTACATGACTCACGAGCAGCAAAATAAAGACTAGAGCTTAGATTTTCTTGTATATGATCTTCTACAAGATGCATCCAAAATAGGCAGTTAAGATTAAGGAAGTTTAACTTGTCTGTAGTTCATCGTACTCAAGTATAAACAGCCACGTCCAGAACTATAGGACCCATTTACACTCAAAGTTCTAGCAGAAGATATCTAACTGAAGCTCAAACCTAAATCCCTCTTGTCATAGGATGCTAATTCTTCTCATATACATCAACCAGTTTCTTCAAGGAGCAACTTTTTTTTTTTTTTTAAAGGTTTTATTTATTTATTTTTCCCCCAAAGCCCCAGTACATAGTTGTCTGTCATAGCTGCACATCCTTCTAGTTGCTGTATGTGGGACGCGGCCTCAGCATGGCTGGAGGAGTGGTGCCTCAGTGCGCACCCGGGATCCGAACCCGGGCCGCCGGCAGCGGAGCGCACGCACTTAACCGCTAAGCCACGGGGCCGGCCCAAGGAGCAACTTCTGATATCGAGCCCATCCTCAGTTTAATAACATGAATTCTGAACAAACTAAATTTCATCAGTTCTGGCCACGAGATAAAGATTTTCAAAACTATAAAACATATATATTATGTATATATATATGCATATTATTACATATTTCTTTAAAATAATTTTTAAGATAATTTTTTCAGCCTTGCCAAAATGATCCTGAAGTTTATCTGGAAAAAAATAAATATGCAATCATAGCCATGAAAAAAAAAAGACAAGAAATGAGGGAGAACCAACTTCACCAACTATTAAGACATATCATGAAACTACAGTAACTATAACAATTCAGTTGAGTCCAGGAAAAGACCTAATCCATGGAAACAAGGCTTACCATAAAGTTGTGCTAAACCCGCACAGGAAACAGAGTTCAATGAATGATAATGGACTAGCCAACTACTGTGAGAAAGATTAAAACTAGATCCTTTATTTTTTATATCAAAATAAGTATTATAGAGGTCTAACATTTGAACCTAAAAGGTGGAACCACAGAAGTTTTCAAAGGAGGCATGGGTACATTTATTTATAAACTTGGAATGAGGAAGGTCCCAAAATCAGAGGAAAATTGATTATTTGGCTAAATAGAAATTCAAAGCTTCCATTGGTAAAAAATGCCATAAACAAACTAAAAAAACCAAAAAAACCTTAAATTTTTATGACACACATAAGCTAATTCAGTTATTCTTTCATTCATTTACTCAACAATATCTGAGTGCTTATTATGAGTCAGGCTTTGATCTAGGTGATAGGAATACCATAATGAACAAGACAGACGAGATACTCGCTCCTTAAGAGTTTATATTCTAGAAAAAAGGAAACCCATAGACAAGAAAGAAAAATATCTGCTCGTAATCCTACGCAGAAGATTAAACATGTTGATGTGAGGTTCAGTGGCTCAGTTACTCTTTTAGATCGAGGCACAAGGAAGGCCTGAGAAGGTGGCTAAAGACCTCATATAAACCAATAAGGAAACAATGACTAACAGAAAAAGGTCCAAGGATAGGAAGAAGAAGTTCGCAGATTGGCTTTAAGTTTGAAATAGTCATCATCTTCACACATAATCAAAGAAACAGAAATCAGAACAATGAAATAAAATTTTTCTCCCATCACATTGGGAAAAACTAGAAAAGTTGAATAGAGAATCAGGTACATTGAAGCACTTCAGTGGAATGCCTAAATTAGTGAAAACTAATTTAGTTTTTGGAGGACAGCTTAGCAACAACCATCAACAGGTAAAATGTACACATCCTTTACAGAAATGTTCAAAGATATAAGGATAGTCACAGTTGTATTACTGAAACACTAGAAGTTCAAAAGAAAGTCTTAATGCCCATTAATAAGGAACTGGCCCAATAAGGTAGACCATCCACACAATGGAATCCTACCCAACAGTTATCAGGAATAAGGTAGACAGGGGAGGGGGAAGCACCTAAGATATCTCTAAAATACATTAAGTGATAAAAGACAGGTTCAGAGCAGTTCTCCTGGGAATGTTCCATAGATAGATAGAAAAAATACACATATATCCATCTCAACTTTAATATGCTGGCGTATATCATTTAAAACGTTTTTATGGAAAAACACACTAAAATGTTCACTGTAATTATCACTGGGGAGAGAATCATGGAGGCTAGATGGACAGAAGAAGGAGGCTTTAACATCATATACAGTGTTTTTGAAGCATGTGCATATATTACTTCCTCATACCGTCAACAGAGGTTTATCTATGTGGGACACCATTTCCAGTTCCTTTATTTAAAAATCCCAATAAATATATAGTTTTTAATACTTAAAGATGTAAAAGAGCAAAATACTACATTAGGAAGCCAAGAACTGTTAGGGAGGAAGAAAACAGGATGGGAGGAGAATAATATGCATCATCCTATTACAGAGGCCAGGACAGCGGAGAGGAGGAAACAGAGCAGGAGGGAAGTGGGGACGGGGAGCTGATGAGGCATCACCACGCAAGAACATCGCTCCAGATGGCAGAAGGGAAGGATCTGGCATCGCCGCACTCAGGATTATTATTCTGTAACTAGCAAAGCATATTTACTAGGGAGAGGCTGGTTTTCCTTGGGTACTGCGAAGGATCATTTCAACTAATTAATTTGTTCTGCTGAACTGACAGCCACTGCGGATGCGTCTGCATGCCTTATAAGCATATTCTTGGTTCATTTACTGGGTTCTCACACAGAAATGCAATACTTAATTGGACAGCTACAAAATAAGTCGTTCTTGTCCCAAGGACTCAGCTTTGGACATGAAGAAAATCAAAACACTCTAAGCAGGGGGACATGACACACAGCATCCGAGACACTGTCAAGTCCTGTCACTCAATATATATTTGTTAAGCACCAACCTTTTCCAGACACCTGG